CCCAGGTACCTGAGATGCATAGTTTTTAGCAAATCTACTGACGTCCGCGAGTAGAACATCTTCAGCATAGAGCAAACTCCATGGAGATCTCGTGTGAATAAGGGTAAATAGCGAGACGCCGCACATCGAACTCGACTGGTGGTGCTGATATGAAGTATCCGTTTCCGATTGATATGTGCTTCAGGTACTCTGTGCTCATGTAGCTCGTACTAGATTAGCTGATGGGAACGCAACCCTAAGCTTCTTCGGGATTCAAAAGGGTTACATGAAGTGATTTCCACTTTTCTCATGCTTCTCCATGACGGAGCCAGTGGCAGAGATTGCATGCCGTCTTTCAGGAAGCCGCACCGGTCACTGCCCAGCTCGACCATGTAGCGGAATCGTTGGTCAGGTTTGCTCGAAGATCTCCATGGTGTGCAAAAGCAAGCGAATAGGGCGGTAGTTGAGGCAGCCGGCCGGATCCCCTTTGTTCTTGAAGAATGTTACAGTAATACTCATAGCCCGTTCACTGGGTGCATGGTCTGAATCAAGGACGGCATTGAGGAAACTGTGTGAGTCACTTTGTCTGAACTCCTTTTCCAGACCTCTACCGGTGTCTTGTCTGGCTCTGGCGCTTTTAGTTCTTCAAGCTGTTGATCGCCTTGGTTACCTCTTCGACTTAGTTACACTGAACCAGACTGGCGTTTAACGGACCATCTGAAGTCAGTGGATGTGCGAAATTTCTTGCTTGAAATATCCAGTTCTTTTGTCTACTGTGCAGTCGCATTCCGTTCGAGTCTTTCACGCACCTGAAGTGCTCAACATCCTTCGCTCTCGAGCCCGTCCTTTCGCCGATGGGTGGATGTTAGTACGAACTTCCATAGTTCTCAGTTGAAGGTTCCAGAAATGTTTCGCTTCTACTATGGCGACAGACTTTACTTTTTTGACCTTTTGAATAGGCAAAAAGAAACCATAAGCTTTGGTTTGGAGAATATACGTGTCGGGAATCAGGCCTATTGGCTAGCCGTAGAATGGTGAGGCCTTGAATCGCCGAACCGCAGAATTAGGCGAATGGGACAATACGCGGGGATGGACTAAACATGCAGGAGCATCGTCAACTCCGCGATTCTCTAGTTCCATGTCTCCACACCCCTTTCCGCCGCGTTTTGTCCTACTCTCCTAAATTCTGCGGTTCGCCGATGCATCGATTTTAGAATTTCGTGGGGTATGAACGCGCCCTTACCATTTATCTGGGAACCCTCATCGCCATCTGATTCTCCGGCTTCTCCAACTCTTCGGCTAATCTCGCTCGCCCGTATACTCTTTCGATTTTGTTGTCTATTTCTCTTTTGCAGGCTCAATGTCTCTTGGTCGAACGCTCTCATGTTCAAAACCAATAGCTTTCTAATTGGAGCACCTCCTTCGAGAAGCTTTCCTCTTTTCTTTACTGTTGAGTTTCTTAACACCTTCACATTCGTATTTATACACCGTAACTCACGAGTTACACTCCAGTTCGCTGCAGACGGACGGTTGGGCGTGTCAGGCAGTATGAGTGTGTCACCCCGTCAAAGCCGTTCTCTGCCTTCTTGTTGAAGCGCGCATGCGACAAAAAGTGGTAGAAAACGAGTAATACGAACGATATGATACAGTCATATCACTTGCTCGCTTCAACAACTGGTGGAGAACGGGTTTGGCACCGCGCCAAACTCATCCCGCCTGACACGCCCAACCGTCCGCAGCGAAGTACACTATATGTGCGCGGCGTGCGTTCACTTCATGTTGAGACACCTTCTTCGTACTTTTGTGGTCTTGTCCTCAAGCCACAGAGAAAGTTTCACGGCATGAAAATACGTGAGGAAGAGCGGTATCCGCTCGCAACGAAGGCAACGTCCCGCTTACTGCTAAGCTGCGTTTATACCGTGCGACGTCGTCGTCAACGTCGACGTAACCACTTGACGATTAGTTGCCGAAGATTACATACCTGTCGATCCGACGAAACCGACGTTTTCGACGTCAGTCAATAAGTATCTAATCTTCTGTCGTCGGTCACGTGGATCGATACGTATCTAGTCTCTAGTCGCCGACGTCGGTTACGTCGGTTACGTCGTTACGTTGATGACGACGTCGCACGGTATGAACGCAGGCTAACGCAGCACCCAACTTTCATTTCTAAGGGCTTGTTGGTGGTGCGGTTGTTCCGCCACTAGCTTTCTCAGTTTCAGATGATGATAAGGAGAAAGAGCTGATATCAACAGATGAGGACTCATCCGACCACGCTCTTATTTGCCTCGATCGCGGTTCAGCATGGGGCGTTATGTGTGGGCATTCTGGGAGAGTCAGAGAACCCACTAAGAGGATTAGTATAAACAGTTTTGGCTGAGCTCAGCAACATAATTCATATTTCGTCACCAATGTTCAGTTATCAATCAGCAACCAATGATTTGCTGGTATCCACATCGACTCTTTGATTGGACAATGCGGTCAATATTCTCTTCTCGGGTTCCCGTTCTTCCGATTATCCAGCTCTTCCATTCTTCAGATTCTCCGATCTTTCGCGCTAGGTATCTGCACTCTCTTGCTGGGATTTGTGCTGTTCGCAGCTTGTCCATTTGATTATCACCCAAAACCAGCGAATACGCATCGATTAGGTCAGTGGTTTTGCGTTTTCAGACGGAACAGGAAATCGATCGATTATCGATTTACTGGGATTACCGTTTCCAGACCCTAGAGAGTGAGTCAGAGATTGGACAAGCAGAGTATGAACTACTCCCCGAAAGCGATTAGATACCATTATCAAGAGCTTATCCAACTTCTCCTGCTTGTTTGAAGGACTGGAATGAGCTTACGGTCGTACCGCTGAATACACACCATGAAGTACTGACCGTGAGTAAGAAAACAGACTGGTAATCATATTATCTGATAATTCCCTTTCTAGAAGTCTCAGCTTCGTCATGCCAACGACGATATGGGCTCCTGGACGAAAATACAAGACCTTATTCAATTTCACACCTCTATCGATGAGTCTAGTAAGATGACGGAAAGGAGCCGCATGCACTGAACGCAGGTCGCCCTTGTCTCGAATGAGCTGGTCGAGATATTCCTGATCGGGCACGGCAACATCTCCGGAGATGGGATGAGAGCCAACGTCGCATCCGCTCGAGAAGCATATCTTCTTCACCACTTCTTCGCTCGACAGACTCTGAAATACCCAGGTTTTGCGAGCAAACAGCAATTAGAAACCAAAATGTCTCCTGACCTCATTCCTGTGAGAATCGGAAGCAGAAAGTCTTGCTGAATCGCCATTCGATACTTCCTCCCCTTGGTCAGATCCTTTAGTTGGTACCTGAAATTAGTATCAGCCCGTTATACGACTTCTCAGCTGTAACGAGTACAAGTGCAGGACTGACCATTATTGCAAATAGACGAGCTGTGAGAGATACAAGCGAGAGTGTTAGATACAGCTAATGTATCTGAATAGGGAAATAGAAGGGTTGGGGTCAAAAAGGTGAAGTCGAGCAGCACTCACCACCTGAAGACGTCTACCGGTGAAAACTCAAAGGTGCAATGACCCTTTCGCCCCTGATTTCAGCTTTTATAGCCACGTCGACGACACGTGTCAGTTGGAAGCTTCGAACGCGTCTTTTCCCGATCGGCTAATGGCGAGAAGCGATTCCAACGAACATGTTTCGAACCAACCAGGAGCTTCTGGAGATGTTCCCAAGTCAGGTGCTAGAGCCCTGAATACGCCTCCCATATGGAGTCCCAGCATCCCGGCTCCTGCTTGAGTGCTCACCCACTGGGTAGACGTCCGGGGTATCTGGAGAAGATGAGCTTACCGGTGAAGGTGAGGATGAGTACTGATTGAATGCTATGAACCATACTCCTGCCGAAGGCGGTAGATCCAGTGGAAAATATTTACGCAAGATCCATTATCAAGCTAGTACCTACCTACAAACTTATTCTCTTTCAGAGAAGTTTCCTTCAATGATAACAGGCCATTGTTCAAAGGAGCTAAATACCGTTATTACGGTAGAAAAAAGTATCTGTGGATATTAACATCGTTTTCTGTTCTAGTAGCTCCTGCACAGATAGCGCTTGCTTTTCAATTAAAACCAGGGCAATCGTCATACAATGGTGATTCTCAGCGAGGGGGTCGCATTTGCGCGTTGGATGGAAGGAGGTCGTATTTCCCGGGTCTTCTCGTTTTGATTGCGCAGTATCCTTCCCATTACTTCAGCTTTTTGGGGGAATTTGGGAACTTTCAGGAAAAAGTGGGAGGAAGGTGGGAAAATTGAGGAGGAAAGTAGGTAGTATGATGGGATGGGAAACGGGGAGGGCGTGGTGCCTGAGGAGGAATTGTGAGGAGTCCACCGTGAGCTTCAGGATAGTATGACACTGTAATCTTTCTCAACTTTTAAGGCGTATAAGTTACACTTTCTTCAATTTTAATACACTTCCACCATCACATTCAACAGCATATTGTACACTGTCATGATACTCAACGACAGCCTTTTACATGAGTATGCGAGATTCTGCCATGCGACCGTGATTTAGTGCTAGAGTTCGAAGAGATAATAGTTGGTTCGACCGCGGTGAAAATGATATCCTGGACCGCGACATAGCCAGAGCTGCCTGATGCTGAAGGTTTTCTAGATCAAGAGCGCCGGTCTCCAGGTAGCTATCCATGGGTGACTCCATACTAGAAGTTTCGCAGCTGTTTGGAGGTGACGTGAATTCCAAGGCCTTCTCCAGTCAGGCTGCGACTGGAGATGGCTTCATATTTTGGTGTACATGAAGGTGATGGGCGAGAGCCTGCTCCTGCTTATCAAGGAACATCTTGGGTATCTTCCGCCCAGGTAGTCATATCTACGTCTTTCTGTTTTAGCTGCGAAAACCCTGCTGATATGTGACTCAGCCGAAGTGTCTTTTTTTGCCCCCCACCCTGTACATTTACTGCCATATGTCAATACGGGACCTTTCACGATTACCCGGTGATGCAGAAAAGCTGCTGATAGAAAGCTGTCAATATTTAAGGAGATGTAAGTAGAAAGATGTCGCTAATACATAGGTCTATCTCCTGTCCAAGTTCTTAGCGTTTTGGGTGTTTCACTTTAAGCGATCGTAACTTTCTTAATACTCATCGGATTTAATCGAAATAGGCACCATTCGAATCAGCACACTCACTCAGCAAAATGTGACAGCAGTCGAGAAATCCCATCAAAGAAAAAAACTGGGTGGTCGAGAATCCACGAAATCTACGAAGGTCTTTTTTGCCTGGTCTTAATTGATGAAGTATTTTTCAGCAAGGAAGTTCTGAAAATGTCTGAAAAGGTGACAGTCGGTTGGTGAAAGGTCTAGAGAATATGGTGGGTGAGGAACTTCAACTCCCAATTCGTTCAATTTATGGATAGTGATTTGTGAAACGTGTGGGCGGGCGTTGTCATGCAAAAGAATCGGACCCTTTCTTTTGATAAGTGTTGGCTGCAGCTGACAATATTTTCGGTACATTTGGTCGGTTTGTTCACAGTAGGGTTCTGCTGTGATGGTTTGGCCTGGTGATGAAAAGTTATAGTGGATTACAACAGCCGATGACCACCAAACCTGACCAGAATTTTTTTTTTCGCGGGTTCGGCTTTGAAAATTACCTCGGTCCTCCAAATCCAACCACTGTCCGGAACGTCTCCTGTTATCATACATGATCCATTTTTCATCACAGGTGACAAATCCGTTCAAAAACGGGTCAATTCTTTTGCGCAAGCAGCGAAGAAGGAACCTCGAGACGTGCCGATTCCTGCCGGTCACTCCGATTGCTGGGCACTAAATGTCGGGTTTTTTTCACCTTCCCAATGAGAATGCGTTCAAACAATCTACAACACTGGATTTGCCAACGCCTAGCTTTTCTGCAATCTCTCGAACTGTTTGGGATGGGTCAGCCTTCAAAATCTCCTCAAAATCCTCGTCAGATATTGCTTTAGGTCGACTGCCATGAGGTTCATCTTCAATGCTGAAATCTCCTGAACGAACTTTGTTGAGCCATTGCAGCACAGTGCTTTCTCAAGCACTATTGGGCCCCACACCTGGTTAATTTGCTGAGCTGTTTCGATTGCGGATTGCCCCAATTTATAGTCGAAGAAAAAAATCGTCCGAAGTGCTCTTTTCACATGCTTGAAAAAATCTTGAAAAAAGGGGTTCAATAAGCAATGGTGAAACGGCAATTATACCATCAGATAGCGCAAGAAATTCTCTACAGGATTGGCTACTGAGAAGCAAGGCAGAAGAGTTTTTAATCAGCAGTGAATGTACAAAATCAGTGCAGCAAACGCTAAGAACTTTCGACAACCTAAGTACGTAGGTCTATGTATCAGTTCACTGCAAGGGATGGCTTGAGAAACATTTAGACGCACTAGCTGTCCTGCTTCGCTCATCGATAATCAGGGTACAACATCGTGATGTGGAGGTGTAAGGTACGACCCCCCCCCCCCGATTCAACGCTGACAACTTCTCTCGAAGGCTACGTACGACTCCCCAGCCCTCTCACCAATGTCAAATACTAACTCTCTCCCAGAGAAAAAGTAGCGATCCCCTAATGTGTTACACGATGCTGTACCCTGTGTGTTCGGGATAATAATCAGGCAGTGTTCAAAGGAGCGTAAATAACCGTTATTACGGTAGAAAAAAGTATCTGTGGATATTAACATCGTTTTCTGTTCTAGTAGCTCCTGCACAGATAGCGCTTGCTTTTCAATTAAAACCAGGGCAATCGTCATACAATGGTGATTCTCAGCGAGGGGGTCGCATTTGCGCGTTGGATGGAAGGAGGTCGTATTTCCGGGTCTTCTTTTCTCGTTTTGATTGCGCAGTATCCTTCCCATTACTTCAGCTTTTTGGGGGAATTTGGGAACTTTCAGGAAAAAGTGGGAGGAAGGTGGGAAAATTGAGGAGGAAAGTAGGTAGTATGATGGGATGGGAACGGCGGGACGGCGGTTGGTGCTCGCAGGAGAATTGTGAGGAGTCCACCGTGAGCTTCAGGATAGTATGACACTGTAATCTTTCTCAACTTTTAAGGCGTATAAGTTACACTTTCTTCAATTTTAATACACTTCCACCATCACATTCAACAGCATATTGTACACACTGTCATGATACTCAACGACAGCCTTTTACATGAGTATGCGAGATTCTGCCATGCGACCGTGATTTAGTGCTAGAGTTCGAAGAGATAATAGTTGGTTCGACCGCGGTGAAAATGATATCCTGGACCGCGACATAGCCAGAGCTGCCTGATGACTGAAGGTTTTCTAGGGATCAAAGAGCCGCCGGTCTCCAGGTAGCTATCCATGGGTTACACCATACTAGAATTTTCTCAGTTGTTTGGAGGTGACGTGAAATCCACAGGCTTTCTCCAGTCAGACTGCGATTGGAGATGGCTTCCCATTTTGGTGTACATAAAAATGACGGGCGAGAGCCTCCTCGTCCTCCCTGCTCTATCAGGAACATCTGTGCGGTATGCTTCCGCCCAGGTATCATATCCACGTCTTCTGTTTTAGCCTCGGAAACCCTGCTGATTGCTGATATATGACTCGGCCGAAGTGTCTTTTTTTTGCCCCCACCCCTGTACACTTACTGCCATCTGTCAATACAGGACCTTTCACGATTACCCGGTGATGCAGAAAAGCTGCTGATAGAAAGCTGTCAATATTAAAGGGGTGTAAGTAGAAAGATGTCGCTAATACATAGGTCTATCACTTCACTGCAACACTTGGACGCACTAGCTGTCCTGCCTAGCTCATGATAATCAGGGTACAGCATCGTGATGTGAGCGGAAGTACGGTACGACCCCCATCCCGCGCCCGCTTTCCCAGTGACGAAATATACCATTCTTCCCCAGAGAAAAAGCACGACCCCCCTATGCGTTTTACACAACGATGCTGTACCCTGTTGGTAATATGAAACGAGCTCACAGGAACGATTGGGTGTACGGTGCAGACCTCACTCATACGTGATTCCGGTCTTTTTCTGTTGTTTAGTTTAGTTTAGTGTTCCATCACTTCTCGCTTCAATTGATAATGACCATGGCATTCTTTTCCATTCCATTTTTGAAATAAGGGCACAACGATAAACTTTATGCCCTTATTTCAAATTGTTTTATCAACTCTTTCTTTTTTCCAAAAGAAAATTGTATCGGGTTACAGTTCATGTTGTCGCAATCAACAGGGGCGGTGTCAGGAGGGGCGCAATCACCCGCCTCTGGCTGCCTTTCTCCACCACTGGTGATCAATTTGTGATGGGCCAAGAGCGAACAACGCTGTGGGCTCATTCCATGTGACTTGACACCACCCCCACATAGCGAATAAATCATCTGTATCTTTATGCACGCCCCTTATCCCTGAGATGAAGTATTATAGGCGTGGCATTCGAACATGGCATAGAATGGGTTACTCGTAAGGTATTTCAATTGGAGACAAATATCCTCTTGACGAGTATTGGTCAGAAACATGACTACAGTTGTGTCAGAATGACAATACCTGATCGAAAGCGAAGCTACCGCCACGTTTAGCTGAAGTTCGCAGCCACGCCTACCACATCTCAGGAATTTCAAGTGTAGCTGCGGACGCACATCGGAATACCTATAAGGCGATGGCGGAGTGCAACATGAGTGCGTGTCATGAATAATCTAAAATGATGTGGCTGTGGAATCTCCTTTGATTGAATGTCTTTATTTAGTCGACTGATTTCGCCCGTTATGATGTACAGAAAAGCACTCGCCCATGATGATGACTTAAAAACAATTGAAGCGTCAGAAAAATGTCGAAATTCCGAGATTCCGGATAACAAAGAACGAAGATGATGTATGCGTTATAACAGAGGTGCACGATCGCCGGACAAAGCGTAATGAAATCGAGCTGACCGTCACCACCGAAGGATTCCATATTGGCCGACGTGACGGCAAGTCTCCAGCGATCGAATAGCGGCAAAACAAGAAAAAGGCATGAGGTTAATATAGTTGAAGGCATGGCTTGGAGTTAAGCATATGAAATTCAAATTAATTCTGCTAATTATGAGCTTCAAAAACATAAAAATCGATAGTTAATGCAAGCAGGTTGAGCATTGAGCGATTTTTTTCAAACAATATTGTGAACTACATAAATGATATTGTGAATTCACCCTCCACTCCATAGTCAGAATAGCATCACGGAAACGATTGATATTGTGGGATAAATAGTTATTTTCTACTATTGGCTAGAGTTTTGGGCATAGACAAACGTGAATCGCTGACCGAAGCGACCCGATAAGTAGACGTAAACTTTCGGCGTCAAAATCTTACAGTCGCGGGTAAGCGAGGCCAATGGCACTGTATAGTGAGCAGGAGGGGTCTTCTGAATAAAGGGAAAGAAGAATCACCCGGCAATAGCCTCACTTAATATTTGTTCGAGTTAAAAACAACGACGAACATGAACCTTTACATAGACGAATCGATGAAACAATATTAAAGTAAACCGTCTATAGAAAGTCAGAGAAATTCAAAAAGCCGAAAATCGGCGACGAAAAGGAACGAAAGAATACAACGGGACAAGGCTGTAGTGCATTCTGGCGAACTTGTTCGGTTTACCCTGGCTACAGTCGGTTTCCCTCAGCCGAGGTTTAGTAGATGTTGTGATCGTCATACCAGTGACGTCGTTGGTCCGTCAGTCCGGGAGTGTAGCTGTACCTATTCAACACGGAGGCTGCATCACGACTTGCCGACCCTGGAAAGAACGCTGTCAGTGGTGGTGGAATTACTAGGGTAGAAAAAAACTTGTAACAAGCCAAACTCGCGCCGCCATGTTGATGTGGAAAACATTTTCAAAATTTGTAAGGCTCTGTAAATAGCAAAGGACTTTGAAAAGCGTAAGGAAAGGTACGAGGAAGAAGGAGACACCCAGATTAGTCTGACCCCACACAAGCCAAATGAGACTAATTCATGAGAGCCCACCACGTCGTTGACCACGTTGAAGGAGATCCCTGTACTGTTAGGGTGGGCAGATCAATGCGAAACGTGGCTGAGTCAGGAACGCCTGTTTTCGCCTGAAGGGAAGGGTGAACACGCATTCCCCTTACATAGCGGCTTTTGAGCGCAGTATGCCCTATGCCATAACTTACGGGAGGAGGAGTGAGGGATGGGAGGTAGCCGGTGTTACAGCCAGTGTTCGTATCATCCACTGTCTCAAGTGCGAGCCGACCTCACCTTCGGCGCGCGCGTGATAAGTGATGCCTTCACCACAAACCCGCACACGCACTACCGATCTATGTATTAGTAATAATGTATCTTTACATAATATTCTCAAATATTTCAACATTCCGGGTATTGTTGGTTTAAGGCAATGATCAAGTGTTAGTGCTCAGTCATGAACCAGTAGCCCATAAGTAACTCCCCAGTAGAGAAAGAAGCCAATAAAAACCCCTGGGAACACTCTGAGAAGTGGGGCCGGTGTCTCGGACGAGTTTGTCGGACGTCGGCGAGCCCAATCAGCAGAAGTGACATGCAACCAATCCCTGGCAGGAGCGTAGGAAATCATACTACGACACTCTCGGCAACGCTACGTACACACGCATTTCCGTCTGTAAGAAGTTGTCTTGTAGAGTGAAAGTAATCGCGGTTGCAGTGGTTGCAATAATCACGCGTCTCTAGCTTATCTCTCCCTTTCGAGTGACGAATGTGGTATACTTTCTGCGAATGCGGACAACAGTGTTAAATGCACTTAGGCATTTCCAGGGCACATCGTTATTGGGGACTCCCCAACAGAGGGGTGTATTTGGTCGCGGGGAAAGGAGGGTCGTATCCAGGCTGAGAAGAATTTTTTTGATAGTCGATTTTTCTTGTTTCAGGGACGTTGTGAAGGAGGGGGAGGGGCGTATTCCCCCCCCCCCAAGCTTTTGATAGAGGTTGCTGACTTTTTTGTCTTTCCTGTTTACTGTGCATGTGTACTATGTATATACCCCTCCTCAACCCCCTTCCCTCCTCCTCCCACCGCTCGACAGGAAAATTCTTGGGAAATTCCGGAAAAAAGGGTAAGAACTTGGGAGAACCCAAGAAGTGGTGGAGGGAGGTCGAATTTTCCTTGCGGTTTTTCCCATTTCAAATATGCTACCTACCCCGCCCCTTCCGCTCGACAGCTCGATGAGGAGGAGACCAGGGGTGGGTAGTACCAACCCCCTAAAAAAGGATGTTTCGTACGGATTCGACCAAAATCCCCAACTAATGATGTACCCTGGGCATGTCGCAACATGAACGCGGGTACTGTCTTCATAGGAGACTGATTAGGTCAATACTGCTGGCAAGGCCAGTTTTGGCTTGTTCCAAGTTTTTTTTTGCTACTGTACGTATTTTTGTCGAGTCTCACTAAAATGTTCCTATATTCCTACACAAAACTCTCATCTTCCGAGTTTCTCTCGACATAAGCACGTCGAAAGCAGACTTTACCCAAAGAAGAGATAGTATATTATGGAATCTATTCTATATACCTGGATATTTTCGGTATTGAGGCACGTATGCTTCTCTAGCGGCAGACACATTTGTGGAGGGATACGCCCCGTAAACCTTGTCGTTTGCTATGCCTCCCGAGTAGCTGAAAGTGACTTAGTGAAGCATCGCTCTCCAACAAAGACGATTGCCACATACCGTCCTGCATAGTAGTCATTATTGGCCAGGGTCGAGGCAGTGGTCGAGTTGTCATTTTTGCGGAAAAGAGACTTGATCTTCTCTATAGGCGAGCTTGGTCGTTTGTTATGAGAATTATCATCAAATCTAAACATATCAAGCACTCAATTCAAACCCATGGGTAATGAGACAGCTTGAGCTGCGACTTACCCATTGGTGACGAGTTTTCCATCTGTACCCATACGTACTTCGCTAGTTCTCCTCCTGTTGAACGACAGTATAGAGCGCTTTTTCTTCGGACCTGCAACAACTCGCTTAAGCGCCAAAGGGGGCATTTAGAGTATATCACCATATCAAAACAGAACAACGACTGACTCTCTTCAACCATCCGGTCTCTCGGTTCCCTCGATGTTGTGCCCAGCGGTGTTGCTCGTGTCCCTGCACCTGCGTTTGCCTGTTGAGGAGCTGTCTGAAGAGAATGAAGATTTCTGATTTTACGATGATAAAACGAAATTTTCATGAAGGCCATATGCACTTCTAACATATTTTCATACTACCACTAAAGCCCCCCACAAATCCTATCCGCAGCCTCATCGTGGCGTGGGGGTGAACGGTTTTGGACTGTTCCAAAAACGTACCAATGCGGAGGGTGCCACGTCAGAGCCTGGCGAGCTACGCGTGGTTAATTTTCTTCTCGCCGAAAACAGTAACAACTATGGGCCTCATTCCCCTGAAGCTGAGGGAACCACCGACAGGGCGACGTCGGCTGGGACCGCTCGGGCGAGGCTGCTAAAATCACAGGGCCAACGGAGATTTAAGTCGCCCAGGACTAGGATGACGATCTGTACTTTCAACGCACGGACGCTTGCATCGGAAGCTCACATCGAAGATCTGATGTTGCAAGCCAGGAAGATCAAGTACGACGTCATCGGACTGACCGAGACGAGGAGGCATCGCCCGCTACACGCCGTATACGAGACTGGAGAAGAACTGTTCCTCGGAACATGCGACAGCAGAGGCGTTGGCGGTGTGGGCGTCCTCGTCAACACGCACTTGGCCATGAACATCGATTCGTACGAAATCTGACGACCCGAATCGGACGTTTGCGATTGAGAAGATGTGGTTCAACTCCAGCTTTGACAATCTTCGTCGCCTACGCACCAACATCAAGCTACGACGAGGATGAGCTCGAAGCGTTCTATATGGAATTGGAGAAGTTCTACAAGGAAGATCATACCTTCTTCAAGGTCATCGTCGGTGATTTCAACGCTAAGATCGGACCAAGAAGAACGGCTGAAGAACTTCACATCGGAACTCACGGAACGGAGTGGAATGAGCAGGGTGAAAGGCTGTCTGAGTTTATCATGTCGACCCATACCATCCATGGTAACTCGCAGTTCCAGAAGCCCTACTCTCTACGCTGGACATGGGAGTCTCCTGGTGGACAATTCCATAACGAGATCGACCACATCATCTGCAATCGAAGGTTTTGCCTGACCGATGTCGCTGTTGTCCCTAAGTTCTACACGGGATCCGACCATCGTCTCCTTCGCGCAAGATTCCGCTTTTCGATGCGAGGAGAGAGAGCCGCAAAGTTCAAGAAGCGAAGCCCAAAGACCTTCATCAACTGGGATCACTTCACTTCTCTCGCTGGGCTCTGGGAGGATTCTGTCATCGACAACATCGACGAGGAATACGAACGGCTTGTTGCACATCTTCACGACTGCGCCAAGAAGTCAGAGGGTTCCAAGATTACCAAGAAGCGTCTATCTCTGGAAACTCTCGAGCTGATTCGCCAACGTGGAGCCGCACGAGCCGCAGGCAATTACCAGCTGACGTCTGAGCTTGCGAAGCTATGCAGAGAAGCGATAAAGGAAGACCTCAAGGAGAGAAGAGCAGCAGTACTGGTGGAAGCCGCAGAGGCTGGGAAGAGCATACGCAACGCCCGCCGCGACTTCGCCAACTGTAAGACCAAGATGACCGCCCTCCGACGTCCGGATGGAACAATCACCGCATCCAGAAGGGCAATGGAGAAGGTCATCCACGACTTCTACTCGGATCTCTTTGACAGCCACGTCCACCTGCAACCATACCGCTTGGAGCAGGATGGATATGTCGTTCCTGCAGTTCTCTCTTCCGAAGTCCGACACGCCATCTCGTCGGTGAAGAATCGTACGGCACCCGGTCCCGACAGGATCAGACCCGAACATCTGAAGAATCTTCCGCCAGTTCTCGTCAAAACTCTGGCTCGACTCTTCACGCGCTACCTGTCGGAATGCAAGGTACCCACCTCGTGGAAAACCAGCAAGACTGTGTTGCTGTACAAGAAGGGAGACCTGTACGACATTGGCAATTATCGCCCAATCTGCCTGCTGTCTGTAGTCTACAAACTCTTCACACGAGTCATCCTGAACAGGATTGGCAGAACACTAGACGAAGGACAGCCATGCGAGCAAGCAGGGTTTCGAAGAGGATTCAGCACGATCGATCACATCCACACGGTAACGAAGCTCATCGAAGTATCGCGAGAGTACAAGATGCCGCTATGTCTCACGTTCATCGACTTGAAGAAAGCCTTCGACTCCGTTGAGACAGAAGCGGTTATCGAAGCCCTGGGCAACCAGGGTATTCCTACTCAGTACATCAGGATTCTTCGTGAGCTCTACAGCAACTTCACGACCAAGATTTCACCATTCTACAAGGAGATCATCATTGATGTGAAGAGAGGGGTCCGACAGGGCGACACCATCTCGCCCAAGCTCTTCAGCGCCTCTCTCGAGAACGTCATGCGTCAACTGGAATGGGAAGACATGGGAGTGAAGATCGACGGTCGGCAACTACACCATCTCCGCTTTGCTGACGACATCGTTTTGATAACGCCAAACATCGAGCAAGCGGAACGAATGCTGGCTGAATTCGACTGCGCGTGTGGAAGAATCGGTCTACGGCTGAACCTAACGAAGACGATGTTCATGAGAAACGGATTGGTATCTGATGCCCCATTCACGCTCAACGGAACGACCATCTCTGAATGCTCTAGCTATGTGTACCTAGGTCGTGAAATCAATATGATGAATGACCTAGCTCCAGAGCTGAGCAGGAGGAAGCGAGCGGCTTGGGGAGCCTTCAAGAACATCGAGGGAGTAGCGAAGAAGACGAAGAACACCAAGCTCCGTGCCCACCTCTTCGATTCCGCGGTCCTTCCTGCCTTGACGTACGCCTCAGAGACTTGGACTCTACGAAAGCAGGATGAGCATGCGGTCGGCGTTATTCAACGCGCCATCGAAAGGGCGATGCTCGGAGTTTCCCGCTACACGCAAGTGAGAGAGGGAATCCGGAGCTCCGCACTCCGCCAACGATCGAAGATCAGAGACGCCGCCGCATTTGCCAAGGTTTCGAAGATCAGGTGGGCCGGACACGTCATGCGTTTCGAGGACGACCGCTGGACCAGAGCATCACCGACTGGATTCCACGGGATGTCAAGCGAACGCCTGGACGACCGCCTATGCGATGGTCAGACTTCTTCGTGAAAGCTCTGAACGAATGGTATGAAGTTCATCGTGTCCCTCGAGCTGAGAGAGTTCATTGGGCAACTCTTGCACGTTGCAGGGACGAATGGAGACGTTACTGGCGCCCGCTCGAGGAACTCGATGATCAACGGGAGCACAGGTGATACAGGTGATACCACTAAAGAAATAATAATGCCACATGTTTGCACTAGTCTGTTCCTGAATGAGTGAGCTCGACCGATACTGTTCGCCAATCCATGGCACGGCAAGATTTTTTGACAGCTCGTTTGTCTGAGCCGCCTAGGACATTAAAGGCAGAGCCCAGGATTACTTATAATTATCTAAGTTTTTCATTGGGAGAGGTAGAGTGGATTGCAACGGACAGTCCTGCAAGCAGTGGTAGGGTAGTAGCGCCAAGGCACAAGTTTGCTCGAGTGATTTCGCCCACTTTGACAGATGTCTTCACTGCTGTCTTGCTCGTTTGCATACTCTCTTGCCGCTTTCTCTGGGCTCTCGCCCGATATCCACATCATTCTTCATTGCTTGTTTGGCATGGTAGAGTCTTACTGGTAAACGTTTCCTCTTCTTTTTCCTTTAAGGTCTAGTCAACCAGCACAGACATATCTAATTCTAACCTCGCTATTAACGAACTTTCTGCTGGCTCATCGCGAATTCTGCCTCTAAAACCACGACAACGCTACGACCTTTCTCTTGAAATGGAGGCCAAAACCAGTAATCTTCACCTAGCCGCCCTACTCTGATCCTTGTGGCGGAGACTCAAGGCGAGGGGCTGACATTTTGTGCTCAGCAGGTTCACGATGGCAGCTAACTCGTCCACCGACAGAAATCAACGGACAGAGTGTGGGTCGCGTCGTGCTAATGAAAAATTTTGACCGTTTCGTGTCGTTTTTCTTCAACCTAGTACCACACAGGGTACAGCATCGTGATGTGTGAAATGGTGGTGTAGGTACGACCCCCCCCCCCCACCTACGTACCCCTATCAATTTTCCACATTTTCAGTTTTCCACCCAAAGATTTCCCGCCGAGTGGGGGTGGAGGTGTACATATAGTACACATGAAACAGAGAGTCAAACCAGTGGAAATTTTTTTGTCAACGCAGCAAATTGCTCTCAAAAGCACATACGACCCCCTCCGTCTCCACCAAATACGACTCTTTTTCATTTTGGGCCGCAACCACTTAGTAAGCCGACTACCCTGAGATGGATTCGTGTGCTCGAGAATCTCATTGTTTCTCTAGAACGCACTGTTGAGTAAGCTGAGAGCTAGCCCTAATTTCAGGGTCGGAGCATCATTAAAAGGTATCGTTATACAAAAAGCATTGCCTACCTGTCTTTGCGGGGATGTGCTCTTCTCCAGGGAGAGATGCCTTCTCAAGCGATCTATGACCTGAAATAGGAGCACGTTAATACTTTATATGTGTAATGTGACAGTAAAGCCGGGGTTAAGCTGTCAGGAAGGTGATGCTTTTGAAAAAGTTAGGAGACAGCTCCACACCTAGGAGAAAGAAATGAAACTTATAGAAGCGTCATAAGAGCAACCGCGAGTCTCAAAGGCAGCGTCCGCGATAGAAAAGAGCTCACAGAATTGTATGTGTAACTTAGAAAAACACTCACGATTAGTCACCCTTTGTTATCCCTGTGTCCAAACATGAACCAAGAGATGGTTCTCTCAAAATTAATCGTGACAATCAACATTTGTCGAAGTTTTGCAGCCCAGTAACTCAAAAGTGTAGTCAGCATGCCACGCACAACAATTCTTTTCCTGTGTAAGCGAACCGAGCATTCTGATCTAAGTCGTGTAAAGGCACAGTCCACAATAAGCCCAACTGAGTAGTTCCATGCTTGTATGGGGTAATCACATTCACAAGAGTCTAGACCACATTCGCCCAGCAGTAAGAATGTCAGTGGATTATGACTAAGATTTACAACGCCCACTTACGGTTAGGGACGAAGAAACCCACTGGAAGTACCGCACGAGTAGCAATATTCCTATGTACTCTACATTTATGTGCTGTTGCCCTTCGTAGTTATCCTCTTGTGAAAGTGTTTAGGGTTTCCCCGGTAAATTTGCACAAAGATCAAGCTTCAAAAAAGAGGGCTCATAGGCGGTTTTTCCTGCCTTCCCGGCTTGTAATTTGAAGGAACGGTTCGCCATGGCCTATCAAAATGCGAAGACGTTATGGGAAGGTAGCGCGGTTCGCAGTGAGCAACCCCGTGTTTAATGGCCGAAACTTGCGAGGTGTAGGAATTATGCAGCGAAATCGCTCCAGTGGTACCTATCTCTTTCCAGAGACTCCGCCTCCAGACTCCGCCTTCATAGCCCGCCTCCCAGTCAAAAGCGATGCTACCGGACAAGTGGCTTGAAATAGATGCTACATTGTCTCTTGCAAGGTCGCAAAGTTCATTACAAGGGGTCGGCAAACTGAGGTCGCCCCAGCAAGCGGTTTTAATGACATTTCACCCGTGCAATTGTTTGAGGCTGAAGCGGTCATATAAAGGTGTCTCCGCCATTCCCTTTGGCATTTTCTCTTCACGGACCAGTCACTCGGCAGTTACCCCCCCCCCACATTTCACCGCCAACACGTAAGCTCCTTATCGCGGACCGTACCTTTAGTTAGGAAACGTAATTTAATTTCGGAATCGCCACTGCACACGAATTATTATTGTGGGATCCACCCTCAGACGATCGGTTTCTAAGGTAGAACTGATGCGAGCTCACTCTTCCGATATCACAAACAAAACCTGAACCCAAACTGAAGCAGGAACACAGCCTTTGAGACAGAAATAGGGAGGGGATAGACTAGGGGATAACGGATAGCAGCACTGCACACGAACCGAGCGCACCGGCCCGACGTTGGCGCCGCCTTCTCCTCGATTGACCGCCTCGTCACCTCCACTTCGCTGTTCGACATCAACACTCTGAATTCAACATAATGGCACCCTGGGAATGTTAGTTAGCACTGTAATCGAACAAAATCCAATCCATAGAGCAACAGACAATTCGGACAATTTCAAGGACACCTGTTTGTTTATCAAAATGCTTCTCGGCTGTCCCTTCTCGTCCCTGGCGATACTGGCTCTACCATTTGATGAATCATGGTAGTTCACATAGGAGTAGTCAGCGACCGGTTCAGGTGTTATATGCCGATTCCTCAACTGAGCTGCAATGCAAAGTTTTGATCTCAACAAGGTTCATTTCCATACAATGCTGTCATGGGTGGAAGGGCTGAGTGAGGTGTGGCCAAATGTCCTCTCGCAGCTTTTCCACCGATGACACGGCGCTCTTTGGCGACGGGGAGGGGAGGGAGGGGGCATTTTGCACTTTAACGACTTCCCATCGACGTGTCGACCCATCTAGACAGCCTCTTCTCGAGTTGACAGGTTTTACCATGATGGCTTGACGAGCTTGCTCCAGCTTCACAAGAGTTCACAGGTTTCACCAGAGTGAGACTTGTAAACCAGAACTAGTGAAGCAACGAAAGTGCAAAATGCCCCCCTTCGTCGGCGAACTGCGCCCGATGACACTGGCAACAATCGCCCTTCTCCAGCAATCGCGCCCATTGAAAGCCTTTGAAGCCTCGAAAGCCTCGATTTTGGGCCCTCCAAAAAGTTATTGTCATGTGCTGACGAGTCATGCGTTGCTCACCTGTATAGTCGTAATCTTCTCCGAAGCCTTGCTTGCGATCCATTGAACGAGTGCGAATGTATGGCCTATCGTTGTCGCTCTTGAAGAATCGCCGAGTAATGGGACGGAACCTGAAACAGCTCCTTGAAACATCTTTTGTGGTAAATCCACTCTTATTCGTGGGGATTTCTAACATGTATGGAATTTCTACAATGAAGGAGATTGGAAGCTATGAGCTCCATAATTCACCAAGATTGGAACAGAAAATCGATTGAAGGGTCTCTTTACTTAAAGCATTTCTTGGCACTAGGTCTGTCTGAGAACAGAACAATAAAGTGAATCGGGGTAGACTGCAGAATTATGCGGAATGCGTACAGCCTTGTTCGCTGATGGGACGCGTCTGAATAACTGGTGCAGAACGAGCTGGCGGACCGCCAAACCCAACCTCACTGACACGCCCTATATCCGCAGTGAACAAGACTGCAACACACCCCAGTCGTCAAGCAGTATTTGGTCCTTCGGCGGCACATTTGCAGTAAACCCAAAAAGCTGAAGTTCATCTAGAGCGGTCTAGAGAAATGAGATTCATTCCCACGGCGAAATGCAGTTCCCAGAAGGGTGATAGAGTTCAAAAGTAGGACTTGATACCCAAAGATGTCCCGGACGTTTTCGTGAAGATTAGTAGAAATATTTCCATAGTTGTGTCAGATTGATTTTTGGATTCCTCAGAATCAATTTATACATGACGCCTACAATAATTACTGGACTGACCTGTTCGGCACGACCACGTTTGTATCCTGGGAAATCGTAGCCGACGACGGCGCGTGGTAATCCGTTCCTGAGACAGCTGAAATAAATACAATCATTCCTAGAAGAAATTGGTAACTCCATTAGTATATAAAAATAAAATTTAGATGTACCTCCTTTCTCATACTCATATGGAATTTTCTTGTAAGGGTAGTTCTCCTCGAACCGGTTTCTGTAGGTTTCTGCAGGACGGTATGGGTCAACTTTGAATGCATCATCTTGCTGAAAACCACAAGACCTAGGCTATTCGTGTCTCTCAATAGATGAAAGAATGTCTTTCTTCAACTCTGGCAGCTCTGTGGCAAACTCTGTTCAAACGTACCTTTCTATAGGCAAAACTAGTCAGTGGGCGGTCACTTGCAGTCGAGTAATAGGAGGCGGGGCGGTAGGAGGGGGCGCCGCTTCTGAACAAAAAACACCCTTTCTTTTGCCAGAAGGAATTCAGGAAAAGAGTGAGAAAGCATGAAAAAGCAATTACGGTGCATGAGCATTCCTCTCGGCGTCTCGCTCAGCCCTGGTTTTGTACACTTCGAAACGTCGCGGCTCGGACGCCCACGATTGGTTCTGCAAGAGCCAACTAGTAGTTTTGAAACTCGTAGAAAACGACACTTCACCAACAACACATCACTATAACTTTTTCTTCACTAAGTGGTTCCGCCCACCTGGTCTTAGAGCTTGGTCTGACGAAGACCAGCAACCTTCTAAATTCCTTGATTTTCAAGTCAGGATATTACTAGTAAGCAAATTCAATATGAAACTACCTCGTCAAATTTCCTGGTGTAGCTAGGACTGGCATTAGACGAGTAGTAGTTGCGCATGTCACCACCGCCATAGGGTGTGGTTCTAAAATAAGGTGTTATAGGGAAGGTGTGACCGATTTACACCAAATTCTCCAGAATTTCAAGTTGAACTGCAAGGATCATAAATACGAAACAAATGATAAGATGATTCACTGGATAGTGAGACAAGCACCCAAAAATAAAACGGGAAGCCAAAGGGCGGATCTTATCACTACCGATAGGAAGTGAAAAGAAATGTACGGAGGCAGCTGATGACAACAAAATTGATAAAGAGACCTAGCTAGAGGACCGATGAAGCTGAAAAAAAGAGCTTGTCGCTGAAGGGTACAGAAGCCACCAACCTGTAGTCGACCCGCTCCGGTGAATGATCATAAGCACGAAGCTCTTCGCGTGCCGTTGCAGCGCTCTGAAAGTGAGAAGTATCTCATGTTCAAAAGGGATAGGGCGTGCGGGCTATTGTATAATACCATCTGGAAGCTACATAGTACCTTTATGTAGCTATGTATCTGTGAAATTTGCCAAACCTAGCCACAACGGAAATTCTCGAGAAATTGAAAAGAAGCCCGAGCAATGAAAACCAGCGCCGGATTTTCGAATCAGGAATCATAATCATAAACATAAATCCTACAAGGAAGATGCGCTGCACAAATTTGACTGTGCCGGACCAGTACTTGCGTGTAGTAGTGTTCTCGGAAAGCAAGGTGGAAGATTTGGTTCAGGAGCCCGAAGAAGGAAGAAAGGAAAAAAAATCGTGGATGGTCCCATAATGTTCATCCTGCACAAGAAAAAGGGTGGATGAAGTCAAGCGCTGAATGTCTGATCAGAGCCTGGACCTTTGTCGAGCTTCCCCGCGAGTCTGACATCCCAGCTGCAACTGCTGCCCGAGTTATGTCCGATAAACTGAGGATGGTCAAGAGGGTGTGCGTATGGGTACCTAATTTTCTTGTAGAAGCACGAACGCAGTACCGATTCTATGCCTCTAGCAGTAATGTTCTCCGCATAAGATGTCATTCACGACTGTGAAAACGCACCCCGGCCTTAGATGAAATATGGGTGGTCTTGGACCTCGAGCCAAAACTCACAATCGTCAATTTTGTATGAATGCAGATGAGAAGCCGCCCGAGTTCTACCATGAAGAGTTACGTGGGCGCAAGTGGATGATCATCATAGCAAAGGATTCCCACACTGTGGCTTTCAAGGCGGCTCTATACAGACTACAATGTTATACAGACTACAATGTCGTCACTGTCGAGGAATATTGCCTGTTCCGACATCAAATCGACAAATGGATGGTACCACACAACTACAAGAAGGCCACCGTTGCTCGTCATAGTGCCAGACCCCGAGTAACTGTATTATTGGGCAGTGCTGGGACACATACAATACTGAAGATAAAGTTCAACGCCTTATTCGTCCAGCACAAGTCGTTCGATTCCAACTGTTCTGGTCAGTCGAGAGTACTCTCCGACGGCAAACGCTACAATGTTTTGTCATTCGCCGAAATTGGCATCAACAGCAATTTACTCGCACTTGTTGAAAAATCGAAGGTACCAGAGGTCCAAAGGCTTTCGGGGCACTGGGAGCGGGTCATTGGTGAAGGAGGGATCTACTTAACTCAAAGCCAAAATATTACTTTTTATCTGATTTCCTCTTCGTTTTATGTGAAAAAAATCATCCGCACTTTTGATGACCTAATACATGCTGGCTGCGGCACTCGCGGATGTCCCACGGGGAAGCCTGTAGAGCTCACCACCGACAGAATATCCTCAACTGAAAACCTTGAAACCACTTTGAACCCATTCCGCTTTCATGTCACAGGATGGTCGTGCGCCATAAAAACTCGACTTTTCTGCTCATGCGCTTTCAGAGAAAATGATTTCTTTCCACGAAAGTGAAGACCAAGACCAGAGTGAGGGCATTCCACAATAGAGAGGTTACTATCATTGGCTTCAATACAGGCCTCAACTCGTTCCTTCACGCAATTCAACTTTCCCAAGCTGGTTCTTTTCACAAAGTTATCAGAAATTCGA